ATTGCGAGATCTGTCTCGTTCGGCATTGGATCGTTGCAGGGCACGTCCCGCGCGTCAGTCACTAGTCCGATCATCATCAGTGGCAGCTTCGCTGGCAGCCAACAGTCGGCCACCTGGGGTCACCGATGCAGTGGGAGGAGGGGTCCAGGTAGCCTTGATATCTGCCAGCTCGGCTCGTATATCATCCAGATCTCCGAGGGCGATCTCCAACTGACTGGGGACGACGTTAGAGGGCGATGCTGCAGCGGACGGAGTGACTTCATCGGCATCAGCTGAGCGAGCGGCGACCCGTGCGAGATCTGCGCGTACTTGTTGTTCAGCAGCTTCGGCTTGCTGACGGCGTTCTACTTCGGTGTTCAGGGCCGCTGGAGATCTCGAAGACGACCGTCGGCTTCGTTGCGCACGCGTTGAACCTCCAGATCGCGATCATGGATGGATCGATGAAGACTTGCACAGATGCTTCAAGAAGATCCTGGGCGACGTCAAGACGGCCCCGGAGATCCAGCACCTCGTGATCGAGGGCCGCGGTGACTTGATCAGCCTGGATAATGCGCGCGCGTTCCGATAGAGATGACTGCGAACCAGAGTATGGAGCCGCGGCCGGTATAGATCGACCAAGGAAGTGACAGGCGGTGCAATCTCCGTGGCTGTAGTTCGACGACGGGGCAGCACTCAGCAGAGGGACGCCGGCGGCCGACGACGAAGTCGACGACGGGGCAGCACTCAGCAGAGGGACGCCGGCGGCCGACGACGAAGTCGACGACGTGGGTGGAGAAGCAGACATGGTACAGGAGCTCTACGCGTGGCAGCCACCTGCTCGATAGCCTTACGCGAAGAGAGGGCGGATGTCGTAACGCGGGTTGAAGGATTGTGAGGCGATGGACCCGGAGGTTACCCGAAGGTGACCCGAGAGTGAGCCACTTGAATTATGGGACACCTTAGCTCGGCGTCCCGTATAGAAGGCCGGCGACTGATTACGAAACCCGATGGCGTATTTACGAAGATCCAGAACGGGGAGGCCCGTAACAAGGACGATGACACCGCACGGAGACAGCAGATGACGTCATGAGGTAAAGGCGTGCAGCATACTGGTTGGTTGGTTGGCCGGCAGACGAGCCGCCGGTAGATAGGCAGTTCAGTTCAGAATTTCCAACAACGAGACAAGGTACTTCTTCATATTAGTCTTTGTGTTGTGCGGTTAGCGCCTACGTGTGTACTGTGACTGTTTCCTACCTACTTGCGAAGTGTACTCGGGGTTCTGGATTGATTTGGCCTCCCTGGTAACCTTCTAGTAGCGTAGTGTGTTGCATTGTCTGGACTCAGGAGATCAGCTCTCAATGTTCGACAGTAGGACACTCTAAACGGTTTAGTGTGCGTCTCGCACTCTGGTTTGGACCCGCAGACTAGCTGCGGCAGGAGATCTCCAGTAAATCTCGTACATATTGTACAACAAGTTGTCGTGCAGTGGGAAGAGTTACCTCGCTGTACAAGTGCATCCGCGACAGAGTTAACTTAAGTCTCTGCCTGCGAGTGTAAGGAACCCCATATTCACCCCTTCATATTACACGTCTTCTAGGAATTACGCTAGATAAAGATCCGAGTCTTGCTACAAGGGTACACAAGGTGAGGCCTAGAGATCTCGGGACTAGTTCTCGTTGTCTTTGGGTATTTGGCTTGCAGGGGTAACCCCCCGTAGTTGCGTGGCAGGACACGTGTGGGAGGTTATTAGTTTTTATCTGAGGGACTCCACCACATGCCCAACATCGCTAGCTGGACGTCTAAGTCCTTGCACTTAGCTCCCCCGAGTTTCTTGGCCCTGGGATCCTTCCAAATCCAGTAGCAGCACTTGTCCGGGAACTTCCAGATACCCGGTTCGTGCCACAACGACGGGATGAACCCAGGGGTATTGCACGAGCGCTCAACGAGCGTCTTGTACGCTCTGCGTAGCGCGTTTCGACGCGACTTACGCTGCGATTCCATGGTGGCGTCTGCTTGTTCCTTAGTCGGAATAGGCACCCAGTGCCCGCGCTCCCCGATTGCCTGTGCGTGCTTGTGCATGGCGTCCACGACGTCCTCCATCAGCTTGAGCGCTTACGCGGAGAGCAGCTCTCGCTCATGGAAGTAGAACACTCGGAAGCGACCCTGAAGCATAGTCTCCCAGGGTTCAGAATCCAGGCCTTCTTGGTATGACTCACGGTCCCAGCGCTCGTGAACAACGTCGTACGAATACTTGTGGATCTCGTACTCTGGGAACCGGGGAGTCTGGCAAGACGCACTCTTGGTCGAACTTGGATATTGCACAAGAACCCCATAGATGCGCCAGGAAGTCTCGTGTCCTCAGGGGTGCGTATCTGGTCGGCGTGCGGGTGGTGGTTATGGCGCAAAGGGCGCGAGTTGCGTGTAGGGTTGGTTACGAGAAGGTGCTCCCAAATAGTCTAGGCGGTTAGGATACGTGGCTTTCACCCACGCGACCCGGGTTCGAGTCCCGGTTTGGGAATTTTGCTTTTCCGCTCCTGCCGGCCTGCACCTTGTTTTGCTTGTTTGGCCTGTTCAGTCCGTGAGATCGACGTTCCGGGCGCTGCATATCGTGCTGAGGGGGTCGTGTCGGCGTTGGGAGCGTGCAGAGGCATCCGATGAAGCCGACGCTTAGACGAGCTCCACGTGAGGCTGGTTCGCGGTTGTTTCGGACCGATGAGGCAAGCGCTGGCGACGGGGAGGCGCGCGCGGGCGTGGGCGGGCTGGGGGTGCGTATCTGGTCGGCGTGCGGGTGGTGGTTATGGCGCAAAGGGCGCGAGTTGCGTGTAGGGTTGGTTACGAGAAGGTGCTCCCAAATAGTCTAGGCGATTAGGATACGTGGCTTTCACCCACGCGACCCGGGTTCGAGTCCCGGTTTGGGAATTTTGCTTTTCCGCTCCTGCCGGCCTGCAGCTTGTTTTGCTTGTTTGGCCTGTTCAGTCCGTGAGATCGACGTTCCGGGCGCTGCATATCGTGCTGAGGGGGTCGTGTCGGCGTTGGGAGCGTGCAGAGGCATCCGATGAAGCCGACGCTTAGACGAGCTCCACGTGAGGCTGGTTCGCGGTTGTTTCGGACCGATGAGGCAAGCGCTGGCGACGGGGAGGCGCGCGCGGGCGTGGGCGGGCTGGGGGTGCGTATCTGGTCGGCGTGCGGGTGGTGGTTATGGCGCAAAGGGCGCGAGTTGCGTGTAGGGTTGGTTACGAGAAGGTGCTCCCAAATAGTCTAGGCGGTTAGGATACGTGGCTTTCACCCACGCGACCCGGGTTCGAGTCCCGGTTTGGGAATTTTGCTTTTCCGCTCCTGCCGGCCTGCAGCTTGTTTTGCTTGTTTGGTCTGTTCAGTCCGTGAGATCGACGTTCCGGGCGCTGCATATCGTGCTGAGGGGGTCGTGTCGGCGTTGGGAGCGTGCAGAGGCCTCCGATGAAGCCGACGCTTAGACGAGCTCCACGTGAGGCTGGTTCGCGGTTGTTTCGGACCGATGAGGCAAGCGCTGGCGACGGGGAGGCGCGCGCGGGCGTGGGCGGGCTGGGGGTGCGTATCTGGTCGGCGTGCGGGTGGTGGTTATGGCGCAAAGGGCGCGAGTTGCGTGTAGGGTTGGTTACGAGAAGGTGCTCCCAAATAGTCTAGGCGGTTAGGATACGTGGCTTTCACCCACGCGACCCGGGTTCGAGTCCCGGTTTGGGAATTTTGCTTTTCCGCTCCTGCCGGCCTGCAGCTTGTTTTGCTTGTTTGGCCTGTTCAGTCCGTGAGATCGACGTTCCGGGCGCTGCATATCGTGCTGAGGGGGTCGTGTCGGCGTTGGGAGCGTGCAGAGGCATCCGACGAAGCCGACGCTTAGACGAGCTCCACGTGAGGCTGGTTCGCGGTTGTTTCGGACCGATGAGGCAAGCGCTGGCGACGGGGAGGCGCGCGCGGGCGTGGGCGGGCTGGGGGTGCGTATCTGGTCGGCGTGCGGGTGGTGGTTATGGCGCAAAGGGCGCGAGTTGCGTGTAGGGTTGGTTACGAGAAGGTGCTCCCAAATAGTCTAGGCGGTTAGGATACGTGGCTTTCACCCACGCGACCCGGGTTCGAGTCCCGGTTTGGGAATTTTGCTTTTCCGCTCCTGCCGGCCTGCAGCTTGTTTTGCTTGTTTGGCCTGTTCAGTCCGTGAGATCGACGTTCCGGGCGCTGCATATCGTGCTGAGGGGGTCGTGTCGGCGTTGGGAGCGTGCAGAGGCATCCGATGAAGCCGACGCTTAGACGAGCTCCACGTGAGGCTGGTTCGCGGTTGTTTCGGACCGATGAGGCAAGCGCTGGCGACGGGGAGGCGCGCGCGGGCGTGGGCGGGCTGGGGGTGCGTATCTGGTCGGCGTGCGGGTGGTGGTTATGGCGCAAAGGGCGCGAGTTGCGTGTAGGGTTGGTTACGAGAAGGTGCTCCCAAATAGTCTAGGCGGTTAGGATACGTGGCTTTCACCCACGCGACCCGGGTTCGAGTCCCGGTTTGGGAATTTTGCTTTTTCGCTCCTGCCGGCCTGCAGCTTGTTTTTCTTGTTTGGCCTGTTCAGTCCGTGAGATCGACGTTCCGGGCGCTGCATATCGTGCTGAGGGGGTCGTGTCGGCGTTGGGAGCGTGCAGAGGCATCCGATGAAGCCGACGCTTAGACGAGCTCCACGTGAGGCTGGTTCGCGGTTGTTTCGGACCGATGAGGCAAGCGCTGGCGACGGGGAGGCGCGCGCGGGCGTGGGCGGGCTGGGGGTGCGTATCTGGTCGGCGTGCGGGTGGTGGTTATGGCGCAAAGGGCGCGAGTTGCGTGTAGGGTTGGTTACGAGAAGGTGCTCCCAAATAGTCTAGGCGGTTAGGATACGTGGCTTTCACCCACGCGACCCGGGTTCGAGTCCCGGTTTGGGAATTTTGCTTTTCCGCTCCTGCCGGCCTGCAGCTTGTTTTGCTTGTTTGGCCTGTTCAGTCCGTGAGATCGACGTTCCGGGCGCTGCATATCGTGCTGAGGGGGTCGTGTCGGCGTTGGGAGCGTGCAGAGGCATCCGATGAAGCCGACGCTTAGACGAGCTCCACGTGAGGCTGGTTCGCGGTTGTTTCGGACCGATGAGGCAAGCGCTGGCGACGGGGAGGCGCGCGCGGGCGTGGGCGGGCTGGGGGTGCGTATCTGGTCGGCGTGCGGGTGGTGGTTATGGCGCAAAGGGCGCGAGTTGCGTGTAGGGTTGGTTACGAGAAGGTGCTCCCAAATAGTCTAGGCGGTTAGGATACGTGGCTTTCACCCACGCGACCCGGGTTCGAGTCCCGGTTTGGAAATTTTGCTTTTCCGCTCCTGCCGGCCTGCAGCTTGTTTTGCTTGTTTGGCCTGTTCAGTCCGTGAGATCGACGTTCCGGGCGCTGCATATCGTGCTGAGGGGGTCGTGTCGGCGTTGGGAGCGTGCAGAGGCATCCGATGAAGCCGACGCTTAGACGAGCTCCACGTGAGGCTGGTTCGCGGTTGTTTCGGACCGATGAGGCAAGCGCTGGCGACGGGGAGGCGCGCGCGGGCGTGGGCGGGCTGGGGGTGCGTATCTGGTCGGCGTGCGGGTGGTGGTTATGGCGCAAAGGGCGCGAGTTGCGTGTAGGGTTGGTTACGAGAAGGTGCTCCCAAATAGTCTAGGCGGTTAGGATACGTGGCTTTCACCCACGTGACCCGGGTTCGAGTCCCGGTTTGGGAATTTTGCTTTTTCGCTCCTGCCGGCCTGCAGCTTGTTTTGCTTGTTTGGCCTGTTCAGTCCGTGAGATCGACGTTCCGGGCGCTGCATATCGTGCTGAGGGGGTCGTGTCGGCGTTGGGAGCGTGCAGAGGCATCCGATGAAGCCGACGCTTAGACGAGCTCCACGTGAGGCTGGTTCGCGGTTGTTTCGGACCGATGAGGCAAGCGCTGGCGACGGGGAGGCGCGCGCGGGCGTGGGCGGGCTGGGGGTGCGTATCTGGTCGGCGTGCGGGTGGTGGTTATGGCGCAAAGGGCGCGAGTTGCGTGTAGGGTTGGTTACGAGAAGGTGCTCCCAAATAGTCTAGGCGGTTAGGATACGTGGCTTTCACCCACGCGACCCGGGTTCGAGTCCCGGTTTGGGAATTTTGCTTTTCCGCTCCTGCCGGCCTGCACCTTGTTTTGCTTGTTTGGCCTGTTCAGTCCGTGAGATCGACGTTCCGGGCGCTGCATATCGTGCTGAGGGGGTCGTGTCGGCGTTGGGAGCGTGCAGAGGCATCCGATGAAGCCGACGCTTAGACGAGCTCCACGTGAGGCTGGTTCGCGGTTGTTTCGGACCGATGAGGCAAGCGCTGGCGACGGGGAGGCGCGCGCGGGCGTGGGCGGGCTGGGGGTGCGTATCTGGTCGGCGTGCGGGTGGTGGTTATGGCGCAAAGGGCGCGAGTTGCGTGTAGGGTTGGTTACGAGAAGGTGCTCCCAAATAGTCTAGGCGGTTAGGATACGTGGCTTTCACCCACGCGACCCGGGTTCGAGTCCCGGTTTGGGAATTTTGCTTTTCCGCTCCTGCCGGCCTGCAGCTTGTTTTGCTTGTTTGGCCTGTTCAGTCCGTGAGATCGACGTTCCGGGCGCTGCATATCGTGCTGAGGGGGTCGTGTCGGCGTTGGGAGCGTGCAGAGGCATCCGATGAAGCCGACGCTTAGACGAGCTCCACGTGAGGCTGGTTCGCGGTTGTTTCGGACCGATGAGGCAAGCGCTGGCGACGGGGAGGCGCGCGCGGGCGTGGGCGGGCTGGGGGTGCGTATCTGGTCGGCGTGCGGGTGGTGGTTATGGCGCAAAGGGCGCGAGTTGCGTGTAGGGTTGGTTACGAGAAGGTGCTCCCAAATAGTCTAGGCGGTTAGGATACGTGGCTTTCACCCACGCGACCCGGGTTCGAGTCCCGGTTTGGGAATTTTGCTTTTTCGCTCCTGCCGGCCTGCAGCTTGTTTTTCTTGTTTGGCCTGTTCAGTCCGTGAGATCGACGTTCCGGGCGCTGCATATCGTGCTGAGGGGGTCGTGTCGGCGTTGGGAGCGTGCAGAGGCATCCGATGAAGCCGACGCTTAGACGAGCTCCACGTGAGGCTGGTTCGCGGTTGTTTCGGACCGATGAGGCAAGCGCTGGCGACGGGGAGGCGCGCGCGGGCGTGGGCGGGCTGGGGGTGCGTATCTGGTCGGCGTGCGGGTGGTGGTTATGGCGCAAAGGGCGCGAGTTGCGTGTAGGGTTGGTTACGAGAAGGTGCTCCCAAATAGTCTAGGCGGTTAGGATACGTGGCTTTCACCCACGCGACCCGGGTTCGAGTCCCGGTTTGGGAATTTTGCTTTTTCGCTCCTGCCGGCCTGCAGCTTGTTTTGCTTGTTTGGCCTGTTCAGTCCGTGAGATCGACGTTCCGGGCGCTGCATATCGTGCTGAGGGGGTCGTGTCGGCGTTGGGAGCGTGCAGAGGCATCCGATGAAGCCGACGCTTAGACGAGCTCCACGTGAGGCTGGTTCGCGGTTGTTTCGGACCGATGAGGCAAGCGCTGGCGACGGGGAGGCGCGCGCGGGCGTGGGCGGGCTGGGGGTGCGTATCTGGTCGGCGTGCGGGTGGTGGTTATGGCGCAAAGGGCGCGAGTTGCGTGTAGGGTTGGTTACGAGAAGGTGCTCCCAAATAGTCTAGGCGGTTAGGATACGTGGCTTTCACCCACGCGACCCGGGTTCGAGTCCCGGTTTGGGAATTTTGCTTTTCCGCTCCTGCCGGCCTGCAGCTTGTTTTGCTTGTTTGGCCTGTTCAGTCCGTGAGATCGACGTTCCGGGCGCTGCATATCGTGCTGAGGGGGTCGTGTCGGCGTTGGGAGCGTGCAGAGGCATCCGATGAAGCCGACGCTTAGACGAGCTCCACGTGAGGCTGGTTCGCGGTTGTTTCGGACCGATGAGGCAAGCGCTGGCGACGGGGAGGCGCGCGCGGGCGTGGGCGGGCTGGGGGTGCGTATCTGGTCGGCGTGCGGGTGGTGGTTATGGCGCAAAGGGCGCGAGTTGCGTGTAGGGTTGGTTACGAGAAGGTGCTCCCAAATAGTCTAGGCGATTAGGATACGTGGCTTTCACCCACGCGACCCGGGTTCGAGTCCCGGTTTGGGAATTTTGCTTTTCCGCTCCTGCCGGCCTGCAGCTTGTTTTTCTTGGGGATCCT